ACACACACACACACACCTAATTTACATTAATTATGAACATTTGTTTAACCTCAAAAGTACAGTTTTTAATTAAATGTTGCTGAAACAGCAAGTTTCTCAGTGGATCTGTGTTCAAAAATGCAGCCTGGGTGGAGTAGTCGAACACAGATCCACTGATCCTTTAACACAGAGCATCTTCAGAAGACAAGTTGATGAAATAAAATTTTAAAATCTGTATTGTTTGATACAGCACTGTTCGATACGGTTCAATACGGGTACATGTATTGTTGCACCCCTAGTAACAACATCTTATTTACCATAAACTGATAGGACTTGTGAAAAATTAGAATAAAAACAGATTCAAGTTGTCTTCATCTGAACAGAACAGGGCCTGTCCATTGTATTCAGTCATTGTCTGCATCACAGGTCTGACAGATGTAAACAGGCTGTCCTGGTGTTTCTCACAGGCACCAATGGACCAGTTTCATCCCCAGAAACCTCTGATGGACTTCTGGTTTGTATCTTACCAGTGTTTGGTAACTGATATTAAAGTCCTTTGCTGTACTTCAGATAGATTTGTGCAGCAGTTTCATGGTACAGACTGCCCTGAGCATCACTTCAGGTGCTGTCTGGTCATAGCTGGTCATGTGACAACCACAGGAATGTTTTGCTAGCAGTTGTGCTAACAAGCACATGTTATCTRACTACAGCTCTGCCTTTTTACTTTYAAATGCCAATAAGTGTTTAATTTTAAATCCRTTGTTTAAAGGAAATTCAAAAYGATCACAAAAATAATCAAAAGTTACATTATGATGTGAAAAACACAATAAGTCCTCTCATCTCATTGAAAGATGTCACACTGCTAAAATAAAAACGTAGGTAGTCTGTGACAACTATTTYGGAAAGTCACACACAAAAGTTTTGTAACAGCGCTTTCTAGGAGAAAAGATTKAGCAACTGTGAACCCCGTTCTCCCTACTTACCAAGTACGTCTTGAGTATGCCCAAAGTACTGTAAATACCCAGTGCATATTTAAGTAAATCTTTTGACAATATTGTGGACTGTAAATGACTAGATACATTTATAGTTTAGCTCCACATGGCACAAAAAAGTAATTTTCAATCGTGATGTAGAGTTTATTACGACCCACTCATCCTTCGTTTCTKTCTTTTCTTTGTAACATTTTTTGAAACATTTTGTTGGTCTGAAATCTAAAATGAGGAAATGTTTTACAAAAAAAAATTACGAAAGTTTCCWAGCTTTAACTTTTTGTCTTTGTTTAATTTGCGATACGCTTAAATAACTTGTGCATTCGATTATTTTTTCAAATATAAGCTCAAATATATTTATATTCATGAAACGTTGACTCGGGTTGAGACGTGGAACAGGAACTTGAACATCTCAAGCCTTGTTGGTCAGTCTGTAAATCAYTGATCTTATGAAACTTCTAGTGAAACGTGTTTACTCCTCTATCCACAGCCCTCCCTGCTTTTCTTGTGCCTGTTGTTGTGTAACTGTCAGCACGGCCTCTGCTGTGGATCACCATGCACACCATTATTTATTCATTTTCAGGAACGACAGTCACGGTGCACGTTCCTCCAGAGTATTGTCCATCTGTTGGCTGGCCTACACTGTACACTAATGTAACATGAGTCCTCGGGAGGTGCTCTAATAGCTGTTCAAGTGTTACCGCTTCACACTATTTATCTCTGTAATAACACTGCCGTTAATTATAATTAGTGTCCTGTCGTTGCAATGTAATTTATCTGTCCCCGAAGCAGCGCTAGACAAACAGTGAGTAAAGTGCGACCTTACTGGTTTTATTTGATCACTGCTGTGCTGACAGTGTTTCACCCTCTCACAAGACACCTCTAACATGGGAAAACATCAYGTCTAATTGCTCCCTGTAAGACACTATCATCTGTCTCAGAGGACTGCTGCACACATCATTTTACACAAAAGCCCCAGATAATTTAATTTCCATCCAGGGAGCTTTTGGCATTACACTGTAATAGAAAATGAAGATCACTTCCAGATTCCCTAAACAAGAGCTCCTGTGTTATAATTATGTAAGTGAAGCAGCGAAATCTGCTTTAGTCCAAGCGGGAGCGTAGAAGAATCTGCTTAAAATATCCATAAATCATGTGGGTTTCAGTTTGCAGCACATAAGAACTTAAGTGTCCATCATTTTGGTGCTGTCAAAGTAAAACATTACATTTAGATTTAAAGCGGATTCAGGTGTATAAGGATTATTATCATTCCTTCACATTATGTGATGTTCATCTGTCATCAGTTTGAAGTTACATTTAATTTTTTTATTCCTTCCTCCAGGTATAAATTATGAGAACAGTGAGTGTTTTATTGTTGTCATTAAATTAAATGTACCTTAATGGACCAGCTGAAAAAGTCTTGCATATTTTTTGTTGTGTAAAAGATAACCTGTTTTCACTCTGATGAACAATGCATCAGCAAACAACTCTGTATGGGCAGATAATAAGCTCCATCATTTACTGTAATGCACACATAGCTGCACACTGCAACATCTGATCAGCCCTGGGGACTGAGTCTGTGTGGCTCAGTTTCCATCTTCAGTTAAAAAAAAAACACTCAGCTTTAACAACAGACTGCAGCAGGAAAGACTGTCTCACTTTGATCTTTAAATACCCTCTAATGTTAAGGCATGCTCATTGGCTTTTTATTTTATTTATTTTACTAATTCTAGAAGTGGGGAAAATGCAGACGCTCCCTTCAGCTCCCTCCTCTGTAGCTCAGGCAGAGCAGAAAAACGCGTGAACACCTATCTTTTTTTTCTTATTCCCCCCCTCTTCCTCCACCACCATCTGTCCCTTTCTTCCATTTCATGTGCTCAAGCGATATCCACACCCCTCTCATAGCAACAGCACRCCGCCCCCGCGCCTTGCAGTGAACGTTTCTTCCCCTGGATCTTCGCCTGGCACCATGCAGACGGTCCCTGGGCCCTGCCTGACGGCTCGGTGTTCCCCCCTCCCCCACCAGCCGTGCTCCTGTTTCACTCAAAGATGGCGTCGGCTCTAGAGCCCCTGGTCCCTGGCTGCATTTTTAGCCTTGTTGTTGTCTTCGTTTCGCACGGTTCTGGCACCCTCCCGGCGGCGGCTCGACACGAAATTCCGGTGAGTAGCGGCGGAGGCCGGACGGAGGGTGAAAGGGATTTATTTATTTGTTTGTTTTTTTTTTACTCGGGCGCGCTTTACCCGAGCTTCCCCCCTCTCGGCCACCAGAACCGGACCAGCTCTGGCTTTCTGGAGAACCGCGAGAGGTAGCGGGAGAGAGGGGTACGGAGGGATGGTGATAGCGGAGGTGGGTGGAGGGGAAGGGGAGGGGGGTAAGCGAAGGCCTAGCTGCTCCGCTCTGGCGGCCTTGTTTGCACCGCACCGTAGGGCTGAAGCGACACGGGAGGGTGAAGGGAGGAAGTCGGCGAGGTGGGGGGACCGCTCGCAGGGATGAGTCTGCTGGCAGAGAGAGGCTCTGCGCCCGGGCTGAGCGCCTAGGCCGCGGAACGCTGCAGAATCCACCGCTGAGATCGCTTCGATGTTGCACTTGCCCGCTAGCCGAGATGGCCGTCTGCAAGTTGCATTGTGCCTTCGCCAAGGCCGCGATCTCACGTTAGTATCTGAATGACATTCACGATGAGATTATTCGCTGTGTTTCCTGCGGTCAGATGGTAAGCTTAGTCAGAAATGTGCTCTGAAGRGGGAATGTTGTCTTTTTTTGTGTGCCGGAGGTGCTGGCTAACCTCTCGTTACATGCTGTTTACGTTTCGAGTAATGTTAGTAACAGGATCGTAACATTAGCTCTTCGGCTACAACACTAGCTTCCCAAAATAAYACCAGTTAGCGGGAACTCTTGTTGTTGGATCAGTGGCTGTCTAACAGTGTGTTAGTAAAAGTAAACAGCACGGCTTGAAGCAGCACATTTACGCGAAAAGGCTTTTTATGATTCTCGTAGCTAGCCTCGCAGCTAATGTTTGCTAACAGTATATAGCCTATTGACTACATCATGTTTACGTTTTAGCGACCCAGCTGTCCAGGTTGTCAACCTAGTTGTGCAGCTTTTAGGATTGTATATTTTGTTTTCTTTAGAGTTCATTATTTGTATAATGACTTAAGATATCAGTGCATTTTCCAGTGTTTGCCTAAAGATTTATTCATATGCAATGATTGTTTATGCTCATTGTGGTTGTGTTTGTATTATTTGTGTATTGTCTGAATTTTATAGCTTTTTACAAAGAAGATAAGCAAGTGCACATGTATCAGACTGCTCAGTTTTTTGTGTTTTAGATGCATGTGTAAACAGAAGAGGTGTCAAAGTGAAAGCATGGGATTGTTTATTTATTTATTTTTTAATTCAAGCACTTCCTGGTGCATAGATGTGGTTTTAAAAGCTGTACCTTTTCCTGCTTTAGTCTTCATGGACAGTTCTTATACAAGTTAAACGTTTTGGACCTGTTTTTTCTTCTTGTAACATTTCCATATGGTCTTTTTAAAAACAGTGTCCTGTTTTTGTTGTTTGTCTTTGTGTACAGTTCTCGTCAGCTGCTGAGGTGCAGTGGAGATGAAGGCGATCAGCCCTCAGTGCTCCCTGGGGTGAGAAATCTGTTCCAACCCAAAGCTGAGAAGCCCTCACTGCTGGAAGAGGAATAAAGGGGAGAAGAGAACAAGTGGAGTTAAGACAACGTGGATGTGGATATATTTGCTGTATTTTCTTCACTTTTTTAAAATTTTTTAAACACAACACTAACTTTTTGGTCTGGAGATTTTGATCGTGCCTCACAACTCACACTAAGAACTGGCCACATTTTGAGTGGTAGCAGCTGCACCGTTGTTTTGGGCGAAATGTAATCTTTCCTCCTTTGTTTTTTTTATTATATTTTATTTATTTATTCCCCTCCTAAAAAAGCTCTTAGAGTGAAACACCTTTTTTCTTTTGAAAGGTCCTGTTCTCTTCAAGATCAGCTCTACTCTGGGTTCGCTGTGGGATTTTAACTTATAAGAGACCTGCTACTTCTTTTTCTCCCTCCCCTGCTTTATGCCAGGCACTTTTACCTGGCTGGGAGCGGGTGGTGGGTGGATTTGATCTTACTGGGTAGGGGCTTGGCTCAGGGGGGACAGTGCTATGATCAGCTGCTCATTTCCGTGCTGCTCATACTCGGCTTCTGAGGGACTCTCTGTGCGGCCCCAGGACAAGGGATAGAAAGCAGGCAGAGGGAGTAGAGGTGGCGGCGGCGGCGCTACGGCGCAGGCCAGGTGTTTCCTTGGCTCACACGAACATTTCATTTTTTTTATTTTATTTTATTTTTTGCGTGTGCGGTCCTCGCAGTAGAGCCTCCGGGCTCCTGCACCCACTGAGGCCACAGCTATGGTGAAGCTGGCAAACCCAGTCTACACCCAATGGATCCTGGAGGCCATCAAGAAAATCAAGAAGCAGAAGCAGAGGCCGTCAGAGGAGAGGATTTCCAATGCCGTCTCCATGTCCCATGGTCTTGACCGCAAGACGGTTCTGGAGCAGCTGGACCTCAGTGTCAAGGATGGTACTATCCTTAAGGTCACCAACAAGGGTCTCAACTCCTACAAGGACCCAGATAACCCTGGGCGCGTGGCTGTGCCAAAGACTAAAGGTGGTGCTAGCTCTGGAGGTGGAGGTGGAGGAAGTGCATCGGCAACAGGAGGAGGCGGCGGCGGAGGAGCAGCGAGCGGCGGCGGCAGCAGCAGCAACATCAYCAGTAGCGGTGACGCCTCTCACTCGCATTCAGGAAAGAAACCGGGTCTCGATTGGAACAAACTGATCAAGCGGGCGTTGGAGGGGCTTCACGAGCCCGGCGGTTCCAGCTTAAAGAACATCGAGCGCTTTCTCAAGTGTCAGGCTGACGTGGCAGCCTACCTGTCGAGCAGCGGCTCTGCGGGGCCCGGCCTCTTCCACCAGCAGCTGAGAGTGGCCCTGAAGAGGGCCGTGGCCCACGGACGCGTGGCCAAGCAGGGTCCGCTCTTTCAACTAGTCAGCCGCAGCAGCACCCAGGATGACGGGACCGGGACCGTGTCCCTGGAGTCGCTGCCACCCGTCCGATTGCTTCCACACGAAAAAGACAAGGTAATGTCACCGTGTACTTACACTAAAAACATGGAGAGGCAGCTGGGTGTTGGTGATAACTATGTTTGAGGTTAAGCTGATATTAAACGAGTAAAGGCGCTGAGACGGAAATGCTTGAAAKGGCAGGAACAACTGGGGGTGTTTTTACACACGAGCGTAGCGTCTGATGTGCTTCTCAGATAAGTGTTTGGAACAACAGAGCTTGGCTTGTGAAACACACAACAGAAGACCTGAAACATTGCCTCTGCATTTTCTACACTTGTTTGAGTTGATCAGTCTTTTATGAGACTGTTTGGACTACTTTATAGTGACTCGGACTGGACAGAATGTCTTGAGTTTTGAGATATATAGGTTGTAGTGTGTGTGTGTTTGTTTATTTTTAAATGAATGTTTGTGACAGGAGCAGGGTTCGTGCAGGGTCATAAAAAGTCTAAAAATGTCTAAAATTTGAAAATCTGTATTTTAGGCCTAAAGATTTTCATCAAGGTCTTAAATTAAATAAATTCATGTCTTATTATTTTTTTTTACTTTTGATCATTCCCGTGTTGGCTGCATAAATAAACAGAGTAAAGCAGAGTAATCAGAGGTTGATGTGATCTGTCTTTATGAGTGCTAAGTTTGCTACTGGTCATGATACATGGTTAAACTACAAATCCTRTGATAACTGCAGGCAAAAAATGGTACAGTTTACTTCCATGTTTTTGACCTCCTTGCTGCTATAACCCCTCACATACAGTGGCTTCTTCACCCACCCAAAAAACCAAGAAGTTCAGTCATGTCCACTGTTGTTTAATTTAATTCAATTCAATTCAAAAATACTTTATTGATCCCAGAGGGAAATTTGGTAAATCAAACAAACATAAACATGGGAAAGCGTATTTTCAATGAGATTTGACTGGATATGGTGAGTTTTGCACTCTGTTGGAAGCAGTCCACAGCAGTTGATATGGTCTCATAGAAATGAATGTTTCRTTAAAGTAATGTTGTTCTTGTGTTAAAATTAAACATTYTTTAATAGCTAAAATGATATCAATAAAAGGTTTTTATGTTAAAATTTCTGGGAATGTTTATGTTAATGCGTTTGGTCTTAAAYGTCGTTCTTAATAGTCTTTAAAAGGTCTTTTAAAAAAGATTTAACTCACTGAAACCTGCATGAACCTTGCAGGAAGTGCAAAAGTGTGTAGTCTCCAAAATATTACAAAGATATGGCATCCCCTTCAAGCTTCTGCTACATTGCTGTTATGTGGTTGTTTGGGTGATAGACTCTTAGACGTGTTTGCTGTTGTTTTGGTTTGTGTTGTGTTGAAGGGATGCGGGGTGGGTAGCTTGTGGGCCAATTTTCAGAAACACAAGAGGAGGAGGAAAAGGAGGTCAGGGGGAGAAAGTCATATGGCTCCCAGCCTCCTGCGGGGAGTGTGTGGACCAGCTGCAGGATTGCTCCTCGTCGGGAGCTGTCAGCAGATGGGAGGAGGGAAGGAAGAAGGAAAGCCGGGGAAAGGAAGTAACGCAGACAAGTGCAAGAGAAAGAGGTGGTGTGTAGCGGAGCCAGAGGGCGAGGCCTGGATGATGCAAGCTTCAGCCCTCTGAAACCAGAAAGAGGGAGAGGGACGGGACAGAGACAGAACAAGAGGGGGGGAGGCAGACATGTAGGCGACAGAGGAGAGAGGAAACACACCCACCTCTGTAACCTGATCAGAGAGAGCAGCCGTCTGCTAACCTCCAGTTGTAAGGTTAAGAGACATGTRTACACAACTCGCACACACACTTTTTAGGTCATACTGTTCCACAAAATCGTAAGTTTGGGCATCAGCATCCTGTAGACGTTTAAAATCACCTTTCCTTTTACAAAACCATTCATAAAGCACTGCCGATGTAGCCAAGAAGCTTGGTACACAGTAACTCCCATTACAACTGGAGCACACAAAGCTGGTCCCAACAATTGTTTTGACTAACTGAAAGCACTGTCTGGGGTTTTTTAGGGGGGGGTGTGAGTCATAGGTCTCTGTAAAGATGCTTATGCATGTAAACACAGAGCAGGATTAGCCTAGAGAGCTGCGAGTCACGTGGACTCTGCCTAACACAGTGACCTGCTTGGCTGCAGATGGTCCACCTACAAAAACTAAACAAAGGTCAGCTTCCTCCTCTGACTTAGCGACTGATTGACCTGCTGCACTGTCTCAAAGGCAAATAAAAAGTGCCTCCGTAAGGGTCCATCAGATAAGTGGTTCCTTTTATTGTGTTACTTCCTGATCAGAATAGGAGTTCGTATTGAATTTGTAAATGGTTTTCGGAAAGTGAACTTCAGTGGGAATGGTGCAGCTTTAAAGAGCAGCGTGTTGCGTTAATGAAATATTTCATGGCATCAGTGATAAACAAACCCCGTGAACATGGTCGGCGAGGTTTTTTGTAGACTTCAGGTTAGCTTGGACATAAATAAGCTACTACATTTCATGGTCACACAGCTTTTATTTTTGGTTTGTTTCTTGCTTTTTTCCCCGTCGCTCCAGAACACGGAGCACACTTACGTCTTTGTCTTGTGTGTTTTGTGCACTGCTGCCCTTGGTGCATGTTAGTTTTAGCTGGTGTGATGGGGCATATGTGTCAAAGAGATAAAACTGTGCAGGAAAGGAAAGGCAGAGATTGCTGTTGCATAATCACCCCGCTCCGCTTGCTTGCTGTTTTCTTTTCTATCAGTGCATCATTGCCACATTGCCCTGCATGATTGCTAACAGTTATGATTTCCTAAAGAAAAGGGGGAGAGTGAGTGAAGACAGAGAGATGGGTGGGGGAAGGAAAATCAAAACAAATGGCTAAGCACTAGCTTTGACCCCATTTGCAGGGAGATTTGTGTACTCAACACACTGATGGTTGCATCAGGGTGCTCTATTCAAAAAGGATCCTAGACCCTATTTCTGGCTCACTATCTCCCTCCTCTCCCCCTAATAGAGTGTCATTGCCAGGTCACAGAGGGGGAGGCAAATGGGTGAGTGAAGTCAACCAGGGGTCATGGATGTATAGGTGGCATTGCATCCCTGAGCGCCCGTTAGCAGGATGGAGCTACGGCCATTAGGTGGGCTGGACTTATCGTGGCGCTTTTTTTGTTTGGTCTCTGTCTGTGTGTGTATTTRTGTTGTTCATCCAATCATAATAGATAAAGGCAATCTTTCTGCCCGCCAGTTGCCCTCTCCCTAACAGCTGGAGCGGGGTGAACCAGAGTTCTCAGTGTAGTTAGGCAGTGTCACGGTGAGGACGTGTGAAAATGTGACTTCATAGCCACACACGAGGCTTTGTGTTGCTGTTTTGTACACTAATGTTGTGGTGGGTTTCCTTTTAGAATGTCCCACTGACCTTCATAACAGGTTTGGCTTAAATTGGTATTTTATTAATTTATATAAAAAAAAAGGTAACGTTAGCTGCGGTAAGCCATGCCACCTGTCTCTGAGGTTATAGTCTTTGTCCTGTTGTTTCCAGACTTCCCACTTAGAGTACAACAACTGCCAAACACACAATAATTAGAATGTTTTGATTGTGACCTGTTTTTCCCCATCCCTCATTTTTACTGCATCATGTTATGTAGCCTCAGGATGAGATTGTGTGGTTGGTGAATAAAGATTTCTCAGTAATTCTAATCCACAATAATTCTGGGAATGTGATGTGTTATTATATGAATTTGTTATATTTGTGCGTGCGTGAGTGCGTGTGTGTGTGTGTGTGTGTGTGTGTGTGTGTGTGTGTGATTATTTAAGGGCTGCTACTTTTTGAAACTTTTTCTGTGTTTGTGTGTCAGTGCTTCAGTTCTTGTTTGACAGTCAGCAGCAGCAGAAACAGGAAACATCTGTCAGTTCATCAGCTAATCGAGGTRCTGAATGTTTGACCTCAGCAGTTAAATATTGTGATACTTTTCATTTATCAATCATCTTGACTGCAACTAAGCTGTCACAAAATCGTTTTTTTTTTTTTTAATTTCTTTAGTTTTGTGTTTTGGGACGATGTAAATTTGTAAGCCAGCTAAGATTGTTTTTTTTTCTCCTGGAGATGGGGTTTGAATGTATTTTTAACTAAATATTTATGCAAAATGAACAGTTTTTAATTTATTTTAAAACAAGTTCTTATTGTTCTGACATCATGTTTGGAAATGTAAAGGTGGAACTTAGTGCAGTACCTGGACTAAATCTATAAATGGTGTCGTCTGTATTAAAAGTCAGTGTTTGGAGGTATTTTTTCATCTATGAAATTAAAGGGGAAAGTGAGTAGAGCCACAGTTTTATGCAGTCTGTTTACTTGTTTCCACCCAGAGGAGGAAAGAGAAAAAGAGCTGATGGGTAGCTATTTGTTGCCTTCGAAGCAGAGGACCATCAATGAGGGATGTTTTTATGTTATGCATGGACATCCACGTCACACAATCTGTTACCATACCAAACATTTATTGTAACTTATTTTTCTTTTATTCCCCATATATTATTTGAATGAAAATGTTTTACTACAGCCAGTGTAAAAAAAGTATTGTGTCTTCAGGTCTGAGAGAMTCTATGCTTAGTCTTGTTTGAAGTCTGATTGTGGCTTTTTTGATAACTGTTTAATAATGACATCGCAGCTCTCTTATTACTTGCTAATCATTGTTTCTACACTGTTGGATGTGAATATCTTTAGTAAGGTTTTCATGAGTGACTGAGTTAAAAGTTAAAATCTGTTTTTAAATGCAAACACAGACACAGAAAAATCCATCGATTATTTATTAATTTTTTAAAATGTCACAACTTTATTTTGTTCATGTTAATCTGTGCTGCCATTTTAAGGGTCAGCAGAGTAGTTGGGGCACAGGACTGTGTCCTACAAGAGTTACCGCAGCTTGAAAATGTTGCACCAAAAATGTATTTTCACATCTTTTCGTCTTTTCTTTGCTGAACTCTAAAGAAWATATATATCTGTAAATAATAGTGAGATTTAATAAAACAAGTGTGTTATTATTCTTGTAATAAACACTATTCTTATTGCGTTAG